GGGTGACCCCAAACCCCCCAAACCCAAGGCAGGGTGACCCCAAACCCAGGACAGGATGACTCCAAACCCTCAAACCCGGGACAGGGTGACCCCAAACCCCCCAAACCCGGGGCGGGGTGACCCCAAACCCCCCCAAACCCCATCCCCAGCCCCACCTGAAGGGGTGCCCCTCGTCGGACTTGTGCAGGGCCTGCACCACGGCCCTGTAGACGCGCAGGCTGATGGTGACGCAGAGCAGGGCCAGCGCCACGTGGGCCACCACGGTCACCGCGCTCAGCGTGGCCAGGGACAGCAGCAGCACCAGGCTGGCGCCGAAGGCCACCGCGCTCCTCCTCACGTCCCGCCAGAACAGCAGATCCCGCACTGAGGGGGGACACAACGGGGTCAGTGGGGGGGACATGGGGCAGGGACACACAGGACAGGGGACACACACGGGTCAGGGGTCACTGGGGACACAGAGCAGGGGACACACACACAGGACAGGGTCACTGGGGACACAGCGGGGTCACTGGGGGGGACACGGAGCAGGGACACACAGGACAGGGGACACACACGGGTCAGGAGTCACTGGGGACACAGTGGGGTCACTGGGGGGGACATGAGGAGGAGACACACAGGACAGGGGACACACATGGGTCAGGGGTCACTGGGGGGACATGGAGCAGGGACACACACAGGACAGGGGTCACTGGGGACACAGAAAAGGGTCATTGGGGGGGACACGGAGCAGGGACACACACCCAGGTCAGGGGTCACTGGGAGGGGACACAGGACAGGGGTCACTGGGGGGGACACACACGGGTCAGGGGTCACTGGGGACACAGAAAAAGGTCACTGGGGGGACACGGAGCAGGGACACAGGGGAGGGACACAAAACTGGGGTCACTGGGGTCACACACACACAGGTCAGGGGTCACTGGGGTCACCCCTGGTGTCCCCACCCCCCCATCGAGTGGGGACTGGTGACGTTTTTGGGGTAGACAGAGAGCGATGCCACCCCCCCCTCAGTCATTGGTGTGGCACTAATTAACCCTCCCCTCATTAAAAGTGGCGCTTATCGTCTCCCCCCCAATTTAAAAGCGGATCTTAATTAGCCCCCCTTACAAATAGATTTTAATTAACCCAACCCCCAATGAAAATGTTCCTTAATTAACAACCTCCCCAAGTAAAAATGGGCCTTAATTAACAACCCCCCCCCGAGGAAAATTGAGCCTTAATTAACAACCCTCCCCCGAGTAAAATTGGGCCTTAATTAATCCCCCTAAGTTAAAAAGGGCCTTAATTAACCTGCCCTCATTAAAACACGACTTAATTAATCTCCCATTAAAAATAGATCTTAATTAATCTTCTCCATCATAAATGGACCTTAATTACCCTCCCCTCTGTAAAAACCAGGCATTAATTACCCCCCCAAAGTGCGATGGCGGGTTTTGCCCCAAATCCCTCTTTTTCACCCCAAACCCCTTTTACTTCCCCCAAACGAAGGCAGACACGGGGCTCCCCCCCCAGACACCATTTTGGGGTGGGGTCCCCCCTTTTTGGGTGTGAACGACCCTCCCAACTGCAGCGGCGGGTTTGGCCCCAAATCCCCCGTTTTTACCCCAAAACAAGGCGCTCACTGGGCTCCCCCCCCTCCAAAATTTCAGGGTGGGGTCCCCCCTTTAACCCCTCTTCCCCCCCCCCCTTTTTGGGGTGTCAATTAACAGCTCCCCCTCCTCCCCCCCCCGATGTTTTCGGCGGCGTTTTGGGGTAAAAAAAATCCCTTTTTTGGGGAAAAAAAAAAGCCTTTTTGGAGTGAAAAAAAAGCCCTTTTAGGGGTGAAAAAAAAAGCTTTTTTTGGGGAAAAAAAAAAAGCCGTTTTCGGGGTGCAAAAGGCCCTTTTTGGGGCTTTACCTGCCAGGCGGGGGAGGCCCCAGGCCGGGGGGCTCTCGGGGGGTCCCCCCAGCTCCCGCAGTGCCCGCAGGGTCTGGTGCTCCTGCTCCCAGTCCCCGACCCCGGGGCCCCCCTTGGGGACATCGGGGGGGCCCTTGGGGACATCGGGGGTGGCCCCACGGGGCAGGGGGGGCTCCGGGGGGGCCTCTCCCGGCCCCTCCTCGATGACGGTGCTGTCGGAGTCACCAGAGCTGTCGCCGTCGGCACCGGGGGGGACACCGGGGACACCCGGCCCGGTGCCACCAGTGCCACCAGTGCCACCTCCAGCGAAGCCGTTCCCGATGCCGGGGACGCCGCTGAGGTCACTTCCAATGCCAGGGACACCAATTCCAGTGCCAGGGACACCAACTCCAACGCCAGGGGCACCGGGGACACCGTTCCCGATGACGCCGCTCCCGCCACCAGTGCCACCAGTGCCACCAGTGCCGCCGTTCCCAGTGCCACCGGCGCCACTCCTGATGCCCAGGACGTCGCTCCCAGCGCCGAGACCACCCTTCCCAGCGCCGGAGATGCCATTCCCAGTGCCACTGCCACCACTCTTGATGCCCAGGACGTCACTCCCAGCGCCAGGGCCATCGTTCCCAGCGCTGAGGTCGCCGCTCCCGATGCCCGGGACACCGGTCCCGATGCCACCGGTAACGGCGCCGCCTTTCCCAGTGGCGGGGCCGCCATTCCCAGCGCCAACACTGACATTCCCAGTGCCGCTGCCTCCTTTCCCAGCGCCGGTGCCACCATTCCCAGCGCCAACATCGCCGCTCCCGGTGCCACTTCCACCGCTGCCGGTGCCACTTCCAGCGCTCTTGGTGCCCAGGTCACCACTCCCGGTGCCCAGGTCACCATTCCTGGTGCCCAGGTCGCCCTTGGCGGTGCCTGGGGGGCCATTCCCGATGCCCAGGTCGCCGTTGATGGTGCCCAGGTCGTCATTCCTGGTGCCAAGGTTGCCGTTGGCGGTGCCCAGGTCGCCGTCCCCGGTGCCCAGGTGGCCGTTGCCCTCGACCAGGTCCCAGGTGAGCAGCTCGCTGGTGAAGCTGTGCATCTCCCTCACACACCGCGACACCTCCTCCAGCGCCGCGGCCGAGCCGGGCGGGGGCCGGCCCAGGGTCCCCCTGCCGGGGGGGTTCCCGCCGGGGGGGGTCCCGCCGGGCACCGACGACCCCCCTCGTGATGCCGGGGGGGGCCCGAAGTGGCACTCGCGGCCCTCGGGGATCTGCGCCAGCGCGGGGCCGAACTCGCGGTCGAAGGCGGCGCGGTCGGGGACCACCTCGAACGGAGACTCCGGAGACTCCGGGGGGCTCGGGGGGGGCAGCCCCGGGGTGACCCCCCGGCCGGGCGGGGACGGGGCCGCTGCGGGAGGGGGGACACGGTCAGGGGACCCTCCCCCCCCCCAACCTGTCCGTGTGACCCCTGACCCCGGCCCGGGGGTGGGGGGGGGGGCGGGGAACCCCCTGAGACCCCCCCCGGCATTGGGGGGGGCCCAGGTCCCCTTCCTGGGGGGTTCATGCACCCACTGCACCCCCACAGTGGTTTGGGGTCCCCCCCATCATTTTGGGGTCCTGTGTCCCCTCCTTAGGGGGTCCATGCACCCACTGCACCCCTATAGTGGTTTGGGGTCACCCCCCATCATTTTGGGGGTCCTAACTCCCCTCCCTTAGGGATCCATGCACTCACTGCATCCCCACGGCGATTTGGGGTCCCCCCCATCATTTTGGGGTCCCAAGTCCCCTCCCTGGGGGGGTCTGTACACCCAGTGCACCCCCGTGGCAGTTTGGGGAGACCCCCATCATTTTGGGGTCCTGCGTCCCCTCCCTGGGGGGGCCATGCACCCACTGCACCCCTATAGTGGTTTGGGGTCACCCCCCATCATTTTGGGGTCCTGCGTCCCCTCCCTGGGGGGGCCATGCACCCACTACACCCCCACAGTGGTTTTTGATCATCCCATAATTTTGGGGTCCCGTGTCCCCTCCCTGGGGGGGTCCAGGCACCCCCTGCACCCCCCCAGTGCTTTGGGGTCCCCCCCGTGCCTTCCCCCCAAAGGTTTGGGGGTTCCCCCCCCTGCCCTGCAGGTGATGAGGCATTTTGGGGGTCCCTCCTGTCCCTCCCCCTCGCAGCATTTTGGGGGTCCCCCCACTCTGGCCATGCGGGGGGGGGCTGTGCACTTCAGGAGGCATTTTGGGGTCCCCCCTTGTGCCCCCCCCAGCAGTTTTGGGGTGTCCCTCCCCCAGCACGGCCATGCAGGGTTTTGGGGTCCCCCCTGCCCCCCCCAGCAGTTTTGGGGTGTCCCCCCCCATTCCAGCCATGCAGGGGGGGTCGAGCGGGACCCGCGGCGGCACCAGAGGTCCCCCCACCCCCCAAATCCACCCCAAATCCTGGGGGGGGGAAAAATGTCAGTCTGGGGCTAAAAACGCTCATTTTGGGGCTGAAACCACCCAGGGTTTGGGGAAAACTGCAGATTTTGGGGCTAAACCCCCCCGTTTTGGGGTCTGACTCGCAGGTTTGGGGGAGTCTCGCAGGAGACCTCCATTTGGGGCTGAAAAAAAACGTTTTGGGGCCAAAATCATTTATTTTGGGACTTGTTTTGAGGTTGAAATTCCTCATTTGGGTCCAGAGTGAGGATGGGGGGGGTCAGGACACCCCAAAACCTGCAGGTGTGGGTCCAGGAAATTTAGGAGGGTCCTGCAGGGGACCTCAAATTGGGGCTAAACCCATTAATTTTGGGGCTAAACCCACTAATTTTGGGACTAACATCACTAATTTTGGGGCTAATACCTGTAATTTTGAGACTAAAACCTCTAATTTTGGGGTGAAACCCCCCAATTCTGGGCCTGAATTCATCCCCCCCGAGGATCCCAGTGCTGGGGGGGGTGGATTTTGGGGTCCCTCCCCCCCGTTCCCCCCCCAAGGGCGGCACAGGCGGGTCAGGGGTGGGGGGGAAGGTTTTTTTTTTGAGGCCAAATCACCAAAAACGCCGATTTTCTCCTGGAGCAGCAGCAGCAGCAGCAGCAGCGGGGGAGGGGGGGCCGTGCAAAGCGGGGGAGGGGCATTTTGGGGGGGGGCACAGCCAGGGGGGGCAAAGCTGGGAGGGGGAGAGGGGGTCTGACCCCCGAAAACAGAGAAAAAAACGAGTTAAAAAGCAGAAAAAGAAGAGAAAAAGAAAATTTGTCTATTTTTGTTAATTTAATCCCCCACCCCCCAAAATGTGGTGAAACCCCCTAAAATCAGGGGGGATTTTGGGGGGTCACCCCCACCCCTCAACACCCAGGGGGCATTGAGGGCCCAAAGTTGGGGGTGGGACCCCCAAATTGGCTCAGGGCCCCCCCAAATTGGCTCAGGGACCCCCAAATTGGCTCAAGAACCCCAAATTGGCTCAGGGACCCCCCAAATTGGCTCAGGGATCCCCAAATTGGCGCAGGGACCCCCCCAAATTGGCTCAGGGACCCCCAAATTGGCTCAGGGACCCCCAAATTGGCTCAGGGACCCCCAAATTGGCTCAGGGACAGGTTTTTTTTCGGGGGGGGAAAGACTTGCCTGGTGAAGCCGCAAAGAGAGAAACAGGCTGGGAGGAGGAAGAGGAGGAGGAAGAAGAAGAAGAGGAGGAGGAAGAAGAAATGGGGGGATCTGCAAGAGAACACAGAGGGTGAGAGCTCAGAGACCCCCAAACCCCCCCAAAATCACCGGGGGAACCCCCAAAACCCCCCAGAATTCCCAAGGCCCCCCCAAACCCCCCGAGCTGGACTCCGAGGACCCTTTTCCACAGGGTCTTACCCCAAATTTTGGGGGGTTTGGGGCTCAGGGTTTCCCAGCCCCCCCTTTTTGTGTCGCAAAACCCCCCAGAAAAGCCCAAGTTTTGCTCGAATTTGAGGGGTTTTACCCCATTTCCTCCCCCCCCGGTCGCAGTTTGGGGCAGGAATCGGCGCAGGGATCGTTCTCCAAACCCCCCCAACCCCAAAAGAAGGCGGGTGAGACCCCTCCCCAGGAGGGAGCTGGGGGGAAAACACCGAGTTTTGGGGGGAAAACGCCGAGTTTTGGGGGGAAAATGCAACATTTTGGGGACAAAATGCAACTATTTTGGGGGAAAACGCAACATTTTAGGGAGAAAATGCAACGTTTTGGGGGGAAATGCAACATTTTGGGGGAAAGCGTCGAGTTTTGGGGGGAAAACGCAACATTTTGGGGGGAAAACGCAACATTTCGGGGGGAAAACAAAACATTTTGGGAAGAAGCCCCAACATTTTGGGGTTTTGAGGCCCCCAGGGGTGAAAACTACAGTGAAATCCTGGGAATTTGGGGTGAAATCCTGGGAATTCGAGGTGAAATCCCAGGAATTGCCGAGTCAGGGAGAGCTGAAAGCAGGGGGGGGTCCCAGGGGGCCCCCCCAGGAAGGACGGACGGAGCAACGACCCCCCCAAAAAACCCCAAGGGCCCCTTTTCGGGGGGGTTTTACCCCATTTCTGAGGGATAAGGGGTGGGGGTGGCACTGCCCCCCAAATCTGCCCCCCCCAAAGGCCTCAGCCCCTAAAAACACCCCCAAAGTTCCCTCTAAAAGCCTCTTCACCCCCAAAACGTCCCCTAAAAGCCTCTTCGCCCCCCAAATTTGCCCCTTAGAAGCCTTTTTACCCCCCAAAAAGCCTCCTCGCCCCGAAATCTGCTCCCTAAAAGCCTCTTCACCCCAAAATCTGCCCCTAAAAGCCCATTGATCCCCAAAATTACCCCCCAAAGGCTTCTTTATCCCCCCCAATTTGCCCCTTAAGTGTCCTTACTGCCCTAAAAGCCCATTTACCTCACACCTGCCTCCAAAACCCCTTCTCTTCCCCCAAAATTCCCCACCCAAAGCCTCTTTACCCTCCAAAACCCCCCCAAAAGGTCTCTTCGCCCCCAGATCTGCCCCCTCAAAAGCCTCTTCCCCCCCTGTATTTGCCCCCTAAATTTCCTCACCCTCGTTTCTGTTCCCTAAAAGCTTCTTCATCCCTCACCCACCCCCAAAAAAGCCAAAACCCTCCCTAAAACCTCCTCCCGCCCGTATTTGCCCCTGACAGATCCGTAACCCCCGTTTCCACCCCCCAAGAAGCCTCTTCCCCTCACGCCTGCCCCCAAAACCCCCTTTCCCCCCAAATCTGCCCCTTAAAAGCCTCTTTACCCCCCAACCCTCCTCCGAAAGCCTCTTCCCCCCTATATTTGCCTCTTAAAGACCTGTGGGCCCCGTTTCTGCCCCCCGAAAGCCCCTTCCCCTCACACGCGCCCCCTTTTCCCCCCCAAATCGCCCCTTTCCCCTCACGTTCCCCCCTCAGGGCCTCGCCCCCCCCTCAGGCCCCACAGAGGCCCCGCCCGGCCCTTACCGGTGCACGACACGGAGCCGCCGCGGCAGCCGCCGGGCTGGGGCCGCCCGGAGGAGGGGGAAGAGGGGAAGGAGGACGAGGAGACGACGGGGAACTGCGCGGCGGGGTCGGCCATGGCGGCGGCGGCGGGGACGGAGCGCGGGGGAGGCGCGTCCGTGCGGGGCGGTGGCCGCGCCCCGACTGCGGGGGGGGGCGGTGCCGCGGGGGGCGTGACCAGGCAGGGTGCGACCAATCAACGCCGGGCGGCAACAGGGGAAAGGCGTGGCCAAAGATACTGAGCCAATCGGCGCCTCGTTCTGGCGGCGTGGGGGGCGGGGCTGGGAGGAGAGAACCAATGGGAACGCGCCGCCCTCCCGCCGCAGCTCGGCGCTGCTGCGCATGCGCGGGAGAGGGGGCGCGGTTGCCATGGCAGCGGCGGGGAGGGGCGCCGCGCATGCCCGGTACGGGAAGCAGTTGCCATGGCAGCCGCGGGGCGCGCGGTGCATGGCGGGAGTTGTAGGCCCGGGGGGGAAGGGGATCTGGGGGGATCCTGAGGGAAGAAGGGGCCATGGGGGGCCCTGTAGGGCGCCTCGCCCCGGGGGATGTCCCCTAAATCCGGTGAGGGGCTGTAGGAGTCCAGGAGGAGAGGGAAAGGGGTCCCAGCACGTCCCTTATGGGGGTGGGGGGGCGCAGCGGCGCGGCGGGGGGGGGGAGGGGGGGGCAAAGGGGCTGTGGGGGGTCCCCGGAAAGGGCGGGGAGCCACAGAGAGCGGCCCGTGGGCCGGGAGGGCCTCCTTTGGCGCCGAACACGGCGCCCCCTGCCGGGCGGGAGGACCCACCGCGCCGAGGGGGAGAACCGGGCACTCGGGAATGGGCGGGGCCTGAGCGGGTCACGAGGACACCGGGTCACGCCCCTTCCCCGGCGGCCAGGCCAAAGGACCAATCAGCGCCCGGGGGGCGGAGGGGGCGTGGTCACGGGCGGGAGCGGCGGCTCCTCCAGCCAATGGCGACGCGGGGGTGGAGGCGCGCGGGCCACTCAGGCGCCGGATTTGGGGAGAGGGGGCGCGGCCTCCAGCGGGCGGCCAATAGGGAGCGAGGGGGCGGGGCCAGCGGGGCCGCCGGGACGCGGGGGAAGCGGCGGTGGCGGAGCGGTGAGTTTTGGGGGGGGGGGGGGGGGGGATCCCACGTGACCTCCCGTATCGCGTGACTATCGCGACATGACACCACCCCCCCCTCCGGGACCGAGGACTCCCCTCCCCACCCCGGGGCCGATCGGCTGTTTTGGGGGCCGCGACCCCCGGGACCCCCCGTGGGTCCCAGGTGACCCCCACCCCCCCCGCCGGACCCCCCTGTAGGGCCCGGGACCCTCTATAGGGGCCGAGACCCCTCTGCAAGACCCCCCTGTCAGCCCCTATAGGACCTGGGACCCCTTTATAGGACCTGGCACCCCCCATATAGGGCCCGGGACCCTCTTATGGGGTCTGGGACCCCCTACAGGGGTCGGGAGCCCCTTATGGGGTCTGGGACCCCCTATAGGAACCAAGAGCCTTTTATGGGGACCGGGACCCCCTCTAAGGAGCCAGGACCCCATTTATGGACCGAGACCCTCCTGTCAGTCCCCTGTAGGGTCTGGGAGCCCCCCATAGACCAGACCCCCTATAGGCACCCAGGCCCCTTTGCAAGACCCCCCCGAACTCCCCCTATAGGCCCTTTAGACTTGGTCCCAGTATGGACCAGCGCTCCCAGTTTGGCCCCACTGGGCGGTTCTCCCGGGGGCCA